GAAAACAAACGCTGTAGTCCAAACGAGCCATTCATTGTAGTTCTTGAAAAGGGATTTTTTTTAAAAACGAAATATCTCCCTTTGGAGTGGACTTTGAGATTTGTAACTTTCTAGATCTTTTTTATGCCCAAACATACACACTACACACTGACTAAAATTTAAAAAAGTGAAAAAGCATAATAGGACCCCTTTAATACTTGTTTTGATACTTTTGTTTTATTTATTTATTTATTTTGCTTGGAACACAAAGGGGGGAAAAATGTCATAGTTTACTCATACTGACCGTCACCAAACTCATTAGATGTTTCTGATAGTCGTGTTTTAATTGAACACAAAAGTGTTTGCATAATATGGGCTCTTTTCCATTCTTTTACACTGAATGGGGACCAACATTTCTTGCTTCAAAAGAATGCAAAAGCACCATAAAAGTTATTGATTTGAATGGTGATTTATATGCCAAGTTGAAGTCAGGAACTTAAATTATATTCTTAAAAAAAAAAAACTTGTCCCTTTTAGACTTGCACTCTATTCATTTACTGCTTGTTTTCTTAAAAAAAACACTAACACTAGCTTTTCTAATCTTCTATATTCTATCTATAAATATTCGATCTATTTGTTTTTCTTTTTATTTATTATACAATTAACAAAAGCAAAAAATATGCAAGTCATTTTTCACTAAAAATCTTCCAGTAACTGCTGCAACTGTATCCTTGAGCCAGAACCAAATCAGTGTGATTTGATGTATTATAATCAGTCTATATAATATTTTTTATTATAACTTTATGGTGCTTTTTATTAATATTAAAAGATGCAGTCCACTTTCATTAGAACTGCCTAAAAAACGAGCTATCAGTATTTTATTAAAATGAAAAGCAAGACGTGGGTTTGGAACAACATGGCGAGTACACAGTTACAGGTTATATATAATAATATAATATATTCTTTCTCTCTGTTTTTCTCAGGGCCCACAGTGTTGCTCAGACCTGGCTGTTTCTTTCCACTATGTGGATGCATCACACATGTACCTGCTGGAATACTACACTTACCACTTGCGTGCCTTTGGCTACAAATACCGCTATCAGCCCCCTGAGCCCAGTGTCATACAAGACTTAAATGCTCCAGCCCCAGACAAAGTGGAAATCGGAGACATAGAGGAAAAGCTGGGGGCAGAAGAACAGGAAGGAGAAAAGAAATCCCTCGAGCATAATGAAAAGTTATAGCAGATTTTTGCGTAGGAATTTTTACAAGTAACATTTAAAATCTTCTTCCAAAAGAACTGTTTTTGGGATGGCTTTGTTTCTTGGATAATGTCTTAAAATATATTCTATATTGTGCCACAGAAATGTGTGCATGACATGTTTGCGTGATTTAATGAAGTGGTACAGTTGGGAGTGTGCTCCTCTTAATAATGCAATTGTATGCGAATGTTTAAATATGACAGTGCGGAATTGTATGAAATGAAGGTTTAGACTTGTGTGTAGGACCCTGCCTTAATAGTATAATAACATTGGGTAATATTTTGGGGCCAGAAGCAAGGTTGCCTCTGCATTCGTTATACTTTGCATTCATTTCTAATTTGTATTTCTTTGTATAAAAATATGAGTTTGCTCTGCACTGTCATCATAAACACACATCATAAAATGTATGATTTAACAGCAATGCCATAAGAAAAAGGGGCACTGATTTTACTTTCATTTGCTCATTCCCTTGAATTAGTGCCTCTGCTCTGATCCAGAAAAATCATGCATTTCCATATGTCCCTGGACCACGTTTGTATTGAGTTTAGGCAATATTTAAACAGCAGCTTATAGATGTGTTTTCTCTACACAGTCTACAATACCTTTGCCAAAGTTGAACGTGCACAATTTACTTTGACTAAGATTACATCAAAATAAAAATTAACCAGGATGTAGTCCTTCAACTGACACCAAAACAGCTATTACCCTTCTCTGAAAGTTAAAGGGATAGTTCACCCAAAAATGAAAATTGTCATCATTTACTCTTCCCAAAGTTGCTCCAAATCTGTACGAGCCTCTATGAGAAGATATTGCGAAGAATGTAGGTAACCAAACTGTTTCTGGTAGCCATTTACTTGTATAGTATGGAAAAAAATACTATTGTGGTCACTGACTACCAGCAATTGTTTTGTTCTTCAAAATATCTTCCTTTGTGTTCAGCAGAAGAAAGTTCATACAGGTTTGGAACAACATGAGTATGAGTAAATGATGACAAAATTTTCATTTTTGGGTGAACTACCCCATTAGGAAAGTTTCAAGAATACGGATTAGTAAGATTCTGTTGGCTGGCCCAATAGTTCATGAGTGCCTGGGAAAGAAGTAAAGGTAGCAAGGTAGATAAGACCGTGTAAGTATACACGGTTTTTTTCTCCATGCTAATGGGAATTGTGGTCTTCTAGATGAATGGTGTAGTGTAACACGCTGTGAAGTAATGCAGCTTGTGAGTTATTGGAACTGACCACATAATGCTTTATTTAATTGTTTGCAGTGTGACTGTGGAGGTTTTTGTTTATCTGGAATTGAATGTCAGGTTTTGCTTCGGTTTACACTGCCAGTGTTGTAACTCCTACAGCAGTCTGTGCGTGAGATTAGACGTGTTGATTTTGAAGTTGATATAGCCGCTTGTCCAGGGTGGTGAAATTGATTCAGTTTCTTGTGGTGTGTGCTTTATGTCTCAATTACTCAATTATTTGTGTGTATTTGCTGTACTTAAAGGGATAGTGCATTCAAAAATGAAAACTCTGTTATCATTTACTCACCCTCATGTCATTCCAAACCTGATTATATTTCTTTTGAGAAACAGATAAAGATATATGTATTCTTTTTTTTCATGATTGGACCCTATTATATAAACAAAACATTCTTCAGCATGTGTGTTGAAAAACATGAGGCTGAGTAAATAACAGTGTTCGTTTTTGGTTGAACTGTCCCTTTAAATGTGCTGGTTTTGGTACGTTTTCTGAAAGGACCCTTTTAAAATGATGCACACTAAATGTGTGTCATTCAAATTCACTTTTTTTTTTTTTAATTCCAGTATGATAGGATTTGAGATAAAGCTGAGAGTTAAATCAGAGGCAGCAGTGCTCAAACTCTTGCACTTGCAGATATTTTGACTGTGCGCTATATAGTTTGACACCACAATTATGAAGGAATTCAAAGTTTCTTTTATTTTGAACTGGAAGTGAGTTTATTTTAATACCAACCACTTTTGTCCTTTGACCACTCCAAGCACAAAGTCACTTTTGCTTTTGTCATAGAACTGAATGATTTTGAAGTGACTCAAATGAGCAAATACAAATACATACAGATATACAGTTTATGTTATTGGTAAAATTATCCTCATTTTAGTTGCTAATCAAATTCTGTGTACATCTTGAAATTGTTAATGGAATGATTATGGTTTTGACTAAACATGATTGCTTTACTTATCAATGAGTATTCAGTAATACATGGTGTGAATTAAGCTATAGGGAAATCTCTGTGAGAATTGCCAGAGTAATGGAAATGTTTGCAGTATTCTGTACTAGTCTGTTGATTCAAAGAGGAAAAGCACTCTTGAGTTTGCGCCATCCACTTTAAGTATGATCTAATAGTTGTTTTTTGGGGGGTCAATTTCCATTATTTCAAAGAGAAGTTAGCCATGAAATGTTTGAACGTGCTCATACTTTCCTAGTATGCTGATGATCTTCCTTAGAAAAGCTCTGGCTAAAATTCCTTTGTAAACGTTCCCTTTACAGAGTTTACTTTGTAAGTTGACTTAAGTTTGCATATTTCAGATCCTCAACAGAGAGAAAGACATGCAAATCTTAAGATGAGTAGTTTTCTTTGGAGACGTTGCATTGATTGAGCAAAGTGTTTTGCCAAATTGCGTTGACTAAGAAGGCCCATAGAAATTTGCTTCTGCACTCTGGGAGATGTGTATTGGATTATATAATGAAGAGGGAACCCAACTTGTCAGAAATGAAGCAGAACCATTCATAGTGCGAACATCAAAACCAGCAATGCATATCTGAATTCATGCGTTTCATGCCCTTGTCTTTAATCCAAAGGTATATGTGTTCCTTTCTTATTCTCTTTTGGTAGGGTCTTTTATGTACAAAGGGAATCCTGTACAGTACTTCCACAGCAATCTTTTATTTATAAAAAAGAGTGTGTGAGGCAAATGTGTGACAAGAATAATTCAATGAGGAATAATAACCAGCATATTAAATAAAGACTTATTTTACATTAAACTGTTTTTATGTGGCCTCTTCTATGAATAAATAAATAAAATAGTATTTTTGCAGCACTTTAAATAAGCATAAAATTAATAAGGTATGAGCAAGAAAATTTACAGTGTATCTTATGTATTCTTCGGTCTTCCTACATCTGTCTTTTTTTTTTTTTTTTTTTTTTTTTACATCTGTCTTTTCATCCCAGGATTGTCGTCATTCTTGAAAACTAAGTAAATCTATCAACACATCCTTTGTCTGATTTGAGTCTGGTGCATTCTGTACTCAGACATCTTAATAGCGTAAATGTAAGAATTTTTATCCTACATAAAAGAGATGAAATATACTACAATGACCGCACTGACAATAAACTGAAACTCGTACAGCTTAGTTATAGTACAAAGACTTTTTCTTCAGAATGGCAGAATTGCATGGTGGATGAGTTCTGGACTGAAGAAGTTAGGCTTCATACACCACAGCAAAACCTTCATGAAAAACAACAACAATGCAATAAAATCAATAAAGTTATGTAGAAACCTCTGATAAAAATGACTTATGTTGATCATCAGCAATTCATCAACTCTGACTTTAATGTGACCGTTCATTTGAACTCAAGGTAAACTTACAAATGCTCACCTCTGCCTTCTGTCCTTTAAGAAAATGTTGCCTCTTCTCTGTCCTCTCCAAGCAGGAATAGCTGGTAGTCAAAACAAATACTATAAGGCTTGGTATTTTTTAGATGCTCATTTACTACAATTCTATATAGTGGCCAGTAGAGGTCAGTGTATTCGCTGCAGTGTTCTGTATGTCACTCATTCTGCACTGTGCAAATTTCAAACGCTAAAGCGTGGTATATAGGCATGCTTGCGCATGGTGACATAAATATAGACAATAAATAATAAATTAACCTCAAATTATTGCACTTTCTTATTTCCTATTTACTCTTTAGATTGACAAATATTGACCACCGTTTACATGTCCTGTCACAGACTTACCAGACACATTGTTTCTCCGTCCTAACAATCCAACAAAGATATCATTCATATTAGCTGCAAAAGACCAAAGAGAAAAATCTCATCAAGCTCTGATGTTACTTTAATTAATAATAGGTGTATGTTAATGAAGAAAACTGGAACTTACGTCTAAATGGTGAATTTGTGTCACGATTCGTTCCTGTGAAATAAAAATGAATAATAAATCCAACATAAAATACCATTGACCTTGAAGGAATATAGCTCTCAGTTCTGTCATTTACTCATCCTCAAGTTGTTTTAAACCTTAATGATGATATTTTTCTGTGAAACAACAACATGAAGGTGAGAAAATGATGTCCTAATATTGTGCATTTTTTTGTGTGCAAATTTCATCATTCATATGATTTAGTTTCCCTGTGTCTCACCTGCGCTCCTCCTGCCCATCAGGCCAATAAAACTGTCATAATCTATATCATTATATCGTTTCTCATAGCGCTCAGACTGGGGGTCGCTGTTGTCCTGTACAGAAAACACAAACAGGATCGCAAATGAAAGTCTGACCCACTAATGTGAATGACTCGGTAACATGAAGACTCTGGACTGTGATGATCATTAAAGTTATAAAAACAACTGGAAAAAAAAAAGATCAGGGAACTGCTTTGAAGAACTGATTTTACGATACAATAAAATAATACAATAAAGCAGTGAGTGGTAGATTTGTTTTTTGTGGCAATGTGTGTGTGTAAAAACCTGTATGTGTGTAGTTTGCCAGCGTGGACACTCATGACTGAACCTCTGTTTGAGCTCATATTTAACAGTCAGATATCACATTAATAGAGCCATTAAGGTTTTAATATCATTATGATTCATTCTAGCCATCTCCATACATTCTCTCCGTATCGGTTGAATTTTTAAGTGGTCATATTTCCGGTATACATATAGCCTAACCGAATATTAAATGAAAAAAAAAACATACTACAATAATAAACATCTATATTAGCCTACTTAAATATTCTCTATTAATTTTGTCCTCCAAACTAAAATTTAGATTTTTGCAATAGGCTACCTGTTGAGTAAACAAGTGACCCCACAATCAAAATACACTAGCATATATTATGCTATTGTGGAAGGTAATTATATATATTCATAGTATATATGTAAATAGTTAGATAGATTCCCCCCCCCGTTATTTAGAATGCTTTTAAGTAGGCTATTCACTTTTATTCAGTGTGACAACTAGCCCTATTAGATTCTTAGGCACATCGCGCACCTTTTCATCTCATAGAGCAAGTCCGTCTAACAAACCAATGTTATCCTTTTTAAAGTGTCGTTTAACGTGTACTTACCGTGAACGACGGATAGTCGAGCGCACAGCGCGAGGGTCGAGGACACGCGAACATCAGCAGCACATGAGAGAACAGCACGAGCAACCAACCGCAGGACATCCTCAGATCCACACCTGCGCCAAACTTTATTTAGAAAATCCAAACCAAACAATTCTTCCTTATAAAGCTAGAATAATTTGATCAAAGAAGTAATAATACCTTTTAAATACACTGAGATGAGCGGGAGTTCAGGAGGATGATGTTCAGTTCTGTCTTTCCAGAGCTGTAAAGACTCGCAGGTGCGCGCGTTCCTTTATTTGTAGCGTGCGTTCGCGCGCTCCGCTCACACAAGCTCGGGCAAGCTGGCTCTCCAATACGAACCAAATAATGATGCTAACATATTCTAGTGACGCAAAGTCATTAACACTCAGAGCCTTGACGTATTTGTGCGGTCAGTTATATTACTACTAAACTCACACCTTCACGTAAAATTCAGTCCAGTATTGTCTATGCAGATTGACCTGTGGTTTATTATTTCTGTAAGATTTGTGAAGCAGTGATTAATGAGAAAATGTGTAGAGTATAGGCTTTACAGTTCATTATATACAGAATCATAAGTTGGCAAATGGACAAGGTTATTTGCATTGTGTTCTGGGAAATAGAGGGTGTGTGAGTTTTAGAAGATTTTTTTATTCAGAAAGACTTGTGTTTGACAGAGGGTTCAACTCTTATTATTCAGTGGGATTATGAGTCATCTATACTGGTCATTCCATTTACTCCATCTCATTACAGATATGTCCTTGATTAGGACAAAGCTGTCGGTGAGTTATAGAAAAGGTGCTGCCTTGATTAAGATCTGTATGAGCCTGATTGATGCTTATGGCTTTAAAGCAAGGCTTAGATTTAAAGCTCTCTGAAACTGGAAGAAATATTCTTTAAAATATATACATTTTGTACGAAAAATACATTTGACCTCTTGACCTCTTTAGTCTGTTTCTGTGTGATGATTGCTGTATATCTCTAATTTTCCTACCTGTGAGACCGAGATGAAATCAAGATTGACATTTGCCATCAGACGCCTCCGTTCCAAACAGTTCAGTAGTGAATTTGTTGGTGTGTTAACAAAAAAAGGGGGGGGGGCTTGGGGGAGAAAAAAATTAATGAAAATACTCACCATGACAACAGGAATGAGAGTTTCTTCCTGGTGTGACAACTAGCCCCCTAGATGAATTCTTTTTCTTTCTTTCTTTCTTTCTTTCTTCATTTATTGCCTTTTAACATTAGATTTTATTGGCCTCCATGTTTTATAGGGTATGAAATTCTACTAAATTCATTTGCATAGAGAAGCCCTGAACCACTGAAGCCAATTAGTTTTTTTCAAATTATTCTTACTTCTCTCTTTTGATTCCTCAGCAAACAGGAAAGCTCTTAATGATACACCGACGCACTACATTCCTCATGAAGCCGGATTTGCTGTATACAAGGGATGTGGAGCTGGAAAACAGGACTTTGAAGTGATTAAGTCCGGTTGTTTGCATTGAGAACAAATGATTCCTTCAGTTCTGAACATTTCCATACCATCAAAACAAGTGATTATTTACGATAGTCTTGTCAGTGGAAGTAAGAAGCATGCGTTCCCATAAGACTGATTTGTTCCTGCATTTGTAAGAAAGTGTTGCTTGTTCGGAAGTACACCCACACTCACTAGTCCAGTCAGTGCTTCTCAATGGTGAATGACACCTACCATCTTTTGCTTACGCAAATCAACTCACACACAAACACACACACACACACACACACACACACAGAATCACTCTCATTTTCTTTCTTATAGCCTAATTTCCTTGAATTTTTACTGTATTTCTGGTCTCATTCAGTCACCAAATATCGATTCACATAATGTGTTCAGATTACAATGAACGACTGAATGCAAAGAAGTTCAATGCATGTTCATTGTTCAGACTTTGTTCTGCCAGTTGAAAAAACCCTTCACTATCGTCATCACCATCATCTTTCTTTCTTATATTAATTACTATATCCAAATGTGGCATATAATAGTACACTTATTTTTAGTATATTTTATTTGTTTGCATTTTGTGTCAATGAAATTCAGCATTCAAAGGTTGCTTCCGTTCAACCCTCGCCCACCTACACGCTCTCACCCAAACACACCTTTGAGTCTTTAGATCAAGGAGAAAATAGTGATTGAATGCTTCCTCTGTCCATGTTTTAAAAAGAAACTTTGATTGTCTGTCTCATGGTCAGTGATCATTGAAAGTACAGAGCATTTATCAGACTTTGTATCTTCATAAGCATAACCTAAAGTGACCTCAGTTACTGAAAACTTTGCAAAGATGATGCATCACTTTCCATCAAACATACATATGGCATGACAATGAGCAGAAGTGAGAGATAACTTGAATTTTTCAGTTTTCAGCATAAACTAAACCAAAGAATTTAACACTGCCATATTGCTGCTGGATGCGTTATACCACATTTTTAAGGCTGGACTGATTTAGGGGACAGTTCAAAACAAAACAAGTAAATAAAATAAAATAAAATATATTCTCCCTGCCTCTGACACAGTATACTTACACAAGATTATGTGTGTGAATATGAATATGAATGTATGTGAGAGAGATTTGCTCATTGATTTAGTAGTAATGCATTACCCTATGCATGCCCCATCCTGAGGCTACTCCAGGTAATTTTGTGTAATCCA